ACCATACCCATCCTGTGGATGGTAGTCACACCATACCCATCCTGTGGGTGGTAGTCACACCATACCCATCCTGTGGGTGGTAGTCACACCATACCCATCCTGTGGATGGTAGTCACACCATACCCATCCTGTGGATGGTAGTCACACCATACCCATCCTGTGGGTGGTAGTCACACCATACCCATCCTGTGGATGGTAGTCACACCATACCCATCCTGTGGATGGTAGTCACACCATACCCATCCTGTGGATGGTAGTCACACCATACCCATCCTGTGGATGGTAGTCACCCCATACCCATCCTGTGGGTGGTAGTCACCCCATACCCATCCTGTGGATGGTAGTCACTCCATAACCCATCCTGTGGATGGTAGTCACTCCATAACCCATCCTGTGGATGGTAGTCACACCATACCCATCCTGTGGATGGTAGTCACACCATACCCATCCTGTGGATGGTAGTCACACCATACCCATCCTGTGGATGGTAGTCACACCATACCCATCCTGTGGGTGGTAGTCACCCCATACCCATCCTGTGGATGGTAGTCACACCATACCCATCCTGTGGATGGTAGTCACACCATACCCATCCTGTGGGTGGTAGTCACACCATACCCATCCTGTGGATGGTAGTCACACCATACCCATCCTGTGGGTGGTAGTCACACCATACCCATCCTGTGGATGGTAGTCACACCATACCCATCCTGTGGGTGGTAGTCACACCATACCCATCCTGTGGGTGGTAGTCACCCCATACCCATCCTGTGGGTGGTAGTCACACCATACCCATCCTGTGGATGGTAGTCACACCATACCCATCCTGTGGGTGGTAGTCACCCCATACCCATCCTGTGGATGGTAGTCAAAAGATTACAGAGGTACATAATGGGTCCAGGGACTGGACCCCAAAGTTCTGACAGCTGCACGAGGTACAAAGGTAATGTAGTCACAAGTTACAAAGGTAATCTAAGCAACAGATTTTATTAAAATAGACAGTGCTTCACACTTGATATATATCTAGAAAATGGGAATTAAAAGAGAATGGATGGAGGACAGACTCGCATAAAAGCAGGGAGGAGAGGCGTCCCTAATACATCACACAGGAACCTAACAGAACACTACGATGATTTAGCGACCGTCGCTCTATAAAATACTAAATACCCAACACTTACTCTTTAGAAGTCACTGATCCAACACAGAGTTGGTAAGCAAGCAGAAACCAAAACGTAATTTTTGGTTTAAGATAACACACTTAACCTCAATTTGTCCACGTAGAATTACAACATTTAAGACTGTCCAGAGCATTTATAAAGTATCCACCTTAATTAAGTTATATACAACAGATTCAATTGCAAAGGAGCCAAATTTGAACAATTCTAAGCTGTTATTATATAGTAAATATTCTGTAAGTGTCCCATGGCCTGGTAGGCAACGCTCTCGCTTCACACACACTTAGTGTTCATGGTTCAATCCCCGGCAAGGGTGGAAACATTGGGCCTGTTTCCTTACAACACTGCTGTCCCCATTCACCTAGTAAGCAAGTAGGTACTTGGATCTTATTCGACTGGTGTGGGTTGCATCCTAAGGGACAAGATTTAAGGACCCTAGTGGAAATAAGACAGACAGTCCTCAATGACGCACTGACTCTCTTGAGATATCCTGGGTGGCTAACCCTCCGGGGTTAAAAATCCGAACAAACTCTCATCTTACCAATTCTAAGATGTTTCTTTCCAGTCAGGTGGAAATGAGGAGTAGAAGTCTGGCTTCCGACCATTTTGCTGGGTTACTATAAACTCATGTTTGGTTAAATACGGCATTGGATTCTTGTGCTGTTCAGACTGAGTGTTGGTGTTGTGCTACTCAAGCATCAAGTGGTTTACCAGTCTGTCCAACACAGGTTACAGCGGCTGTACCTCACTCTGTAAACACCACCTACACTGTTTTTTTTTTGGTGAATTCTTGTTCAAAATGCATGTAACCGTCCATCAATCATTAAAGACTACTTGCATATTCAATGTTTTTAGGGCATTCGGCAGAATGGATAAATACTTATTGCATAGATGAACTAATATATTCTTAACCTAAGGGGTTATCTTAGGTTCAGTTCTATAATAAATCTTCTTAACTACCCCAATGGAAATAAGTCAAGGACCCCAATGGAAATAAGTAAGGACCCCAATGGAAATAAGTCACTCTGTCTGACTTTTTTGGGTTATCCCAGGTTCTCTACACATATGCTGCTATGTATGATAATTCTATGTAACTGTATTTGTGTATACCTGAATAAACTCACTTACTTACTTACTTACTATTAACAAAGCTGTTTTTACAAACTCCTTAGGATACTTTAGTTATATTGTAATGCGTCAAGAAACTCAGGGCTGCACACTAGGAAAGTTCTCAGAAACATAGTGAGAAAGACATTACTTTTTACTCTTGTTTAGTGGTCGTTCTATATACTGTGAACTTAAACTTTCTACCAGCCCAGTGGATCAAAACACTCACTTCTTTTTCCAGTGTGAATTTAATAG